TGTTTCAAACCCATGCTGCCTAGCCAGCTGAGAAAAATCTTAAATACATTTAATACATCATGTAGGAAGGCCTTTCAAAGAAAATTCTCAGGTAGCAAGGACTTACCTTTCTTCATCTCAGGGCAGCCATGGAATGAGGGTGTTCTTAGAGGTTAATCTTTTTGAGCCAAGCATCTTTCAGTCTCATAGGCTTAGTGTTTCATTCTGATGTTTAATTAAAGTGATATGGCTATAACTAAAAAGAAAACTAAATCAGTCTCAGGGAAAAAAAAACTAGCTAGGGCACAGGAACTGTACTGTTCGGGTTTCTGTTCCATATTAATTATTTCAGACACTTTTTTTTTTTTTTTTTTTTAAATCATGCAGAATAAGCCTACAAGAAAATAGGTGAGCATTGAAAGAATGCCTTTATAGACCCATTTTTATAACCAAAATTTCACACTAAAAAGAATATAATCAGAAATGATCCCCAGGATTGGGTTGAACTTAGTCATACATCACCTCAGAATACTGGCAGCCCATTTAAAGAGGGCTCAGTGTGAATGGCTGCAGTCAGACGTTAGGTAACTTGTATCCCAAATTAGCTTTTCTTCTGACTGCCTTAGTTGTGTCAGTTAGACTTGTATTGAGTCAGAGCTCATAAGATCTGTAGAACTTTCAGTTCAGAGGAAGTTTGCTCCAGCCTCCCCTCAACTGGGTAGACATATCCTATGTTGTTGCCTGTATTTTGCCTCTTAAAGAGGTGCTCTCAGACTTTTCTTTCAGTGTCTGTTAGCGGAATGGGAAGGAGCAGAGCTGGAGTAATTTATTCAGAGAGTTGTGTAGTATTTGACTGCAGTTGCATATCCTTCTGGTGTGCTTGATCTGTGTGTTGTGCATTACAGTTATGCACAGTGCAGTGGGACTGTTGATAGAATTGTGCATGTCTTCACAGGACTTAAAGATCCAGATGAAGGACTTTGAGGCAACTGCTGAGCCTCTGCAGGAGTGGCTGACCACAACAGAGAAGATGGTGCAAGGAAGTAGCAGTCGGCTCCATGATCTTCCTTCCAAGAGGAGAGAACACCAAAAGTTGCAGGTGACTTCTTTTTAACATAGCCAGACTTTCCTGTCCCATCATCCTCGCCTCATTGATTCCTTACAAAAGCTTGATCATTCTGGCATCCTGAACTCTAAATAGGATGAGAACTGGTTTCAAGGATTGCTGTTGACTATCATCTTCCATTAGGTTTGGCATCTTCACTTTTCTTATGACATGCTACTTCATTGCTGTAGCCGTATGGTGTGCCTTTGTCAGCAAGCTTGCCATATGTCAATTCTGTTTTTCATGGGACCTTCATGCTTCTCTGTTTCCTGCTTTCTTGCCCCACTCTTAGTATTAACGTGCTTGTGCTTTACAGTCTGTCCTTGAGGAAATAAGCTGCCACGAGCATCAGCTCAACAGGCTAAAAGAGAAAGCTCAGCAGCTGTGGGAAGAGCAAGCTGTCAGCAAAAGCTTTATGCGCAGAGTGTCTCAATTGTCTTCTCAGTATCTTACTCTGAGCAATCTGACAAAGGTAATGCACCCACTGTATGTGCTCCTTGTTGTCTTGCTTGTCTGCTTTGTTGTATTTTAGAGCTATCTTGTCTTTCACACTGGCTTTAAAGAGTGGGAAGTAAGGACCTGGATAAGTCCATCGGCTGTCAACAAAATGGAATTGTGGTGTTATTTTTTTAAAAAAATGTGTGTTGATTAAAAGGTAAACCCCACCTGATTATGCAACAATCAGGTTTGATTTTGTTTATTTCAAGTATTGAAATCATTTTAGTTTTATAATAAGTGGCACCTGAAGGAAGTATTTTTCAAAGCTTAGGGGAGTTTTGTTTAGAAAATACAGAGAAGTATTTACTTCGTTGCATCCTATAATGATGATTAGGTGTCTTCATCTAAAAGTAATAGATAGGTCTACTAAAAAAATTACCTCTTGGGCTACTTTTGAAGGTTTAAGGGAAGACATAGGCCAAACTGTAAAGCTTCAGGCTAGGAACTGAGAGTTTTATGTAACTTTTGCTGAGTGGTGCTTGACACACTTCACCATTTAATAGTTCAGCTATCTCTATTGTGTAAACAGATAAGAAGGTCTTCATGTTAGGATTGTTACTCTTCACAAAGTTCCAGTCATGAAGGAGGCTTGATATTGAATTAGGCTTATAGTTACTACAGTAATGAGAATAATTAAGGATATAGTAAGTGTGTTGTGGCGTAACAATTCAGTTCAAAAAGTATTTATGTTTGGGCAATTGCTAGTTTGTTCATTTCTACTTTTTCTGTGGAAATAAAAATTAGAAGGCATATATAGATCTGTATGACTTACTGAAAATCATTGTGTACATGGCCATAATAAATTTACATGACTTGAAAATGAGAAAGATGCATGAGTTACTAACATTGGCTTATATGGACAGAACTTGTAGGAGATGTCAGGATGAGAAGGAGGAGTCTGAGGCAGAGGATACATATGATAGCCTATCGGAGGAATCCTGAAGTTCTTTGGATAGCCATGGATGCTTGGGAAAGATCCCTCTCAGTAACTTCCTAAGCCTGTTTCACTGGCTTGGCTGTAGTTCTCTTGTCACCATGTGAAATACACTCTGCTCTGTATTCCTGTTCACCTCAGGCCTTTTAGCAATGTAACTTGAGCATTTGTATTTGATATGTATGAGTGTCAGTGATTTTTTTCAGAAGAATGGTTATACCAATGGAAGTCATTAAGGAAAACAGGTCTTTTCCAAGTATCAACAAAATAATGTTGCTGCAGTGGCATAGCTTTGCAGGCTCAGATCTGTCTTGTGGTTGACAGCTTTCACAAGTTACCTTCAGTTTAAACACTGAAATGGAGTTTAGGTCTGATTTATCAAATGTTTAAGAAAAAGTGAAACTAGAAAACGCTCATCTGCTTTGGATGAGAGGATAAAATTAGATGAAGCTTTACGTTTAGAAGTCAAAAAAAGGCATTTCTGAAATTTTCATTTGTATATTATGTTTGGACAACTTGTATGTGTGTGTATGCAAAATTCATTCCATGCTTTAGTGAGTGTGTGAAGAGAATTTCTGGATATACTTTATGAAACTCTAGATTCTAAAGTCCATAAGTAGGTATGGGGAATAATCAATCCTTTGAATAGGTACTGATGCTAATTGCTGTATGAATTGCAGGAGAAAGTTTCCAGAATGGATAGGGTTGTAGCGGAGCACCAGCAGTTCTTGCATAGTGTCAAGGACCTCCAGGACTGGGTGGCTGATGCAGTTCACATGCTGGATTCCTACTGTCATCCCACTGCAGACAAGAGTGTTCTGGACAGCCGGATGTTAAAGCTAGAGGTATGGAAACAACAGACTCCAAAACCTGCTCTTTATAGATCTGTAAGAAGAACGCAAATAGAGGATACTTTACATTAGTTGTTGCATATTAGTGTAACAGCTGTTGTCATTCAGACACTATGTTTCAATTTATGCAAAAATAACTCTTTATAATTTTTAGAGGAAAGAAGTCATTGTTAGAAGTTTTCTCTAAGGATACAGGGACCTTTATAACTTGGAAAACTGCATATATGCAAATTCTTAAAAAACTCAAAAGATGTGTGGCTGCTGAAGGTTAAATGAAGAAGTAAGGTATTCATTTCTGTTTAATTATTTCCTAGATCTCACAGGTGATATGGATGATTTGGAACAGCTTTTCCTGTAATTATTTGCTTTAAAAATGGTGACTGCAGTTAAGAAAATAGCATCTAATTGATATCACTGCACGAGAAATGTTGAAGAGCAATACTCAGAAAACAATACTTTTCACATTGTTGATATCTCAGATTTTGAGCTGTGACCAAAATATGGACAAGTCCTCAGACTTATAAGGATATGTCAAAAAGCGAGAGATATAGCAAAATACTAAAATTATGTTTTTCATTTTGTTCATTTAGTGTCTTTTAGGTTCATGCTTTCAAGCTTTTCATGACTATGCGTAATGTTAGAAGCTGTTTGCAACTGCACAGCTTCAGGAGCTGAAGTCTTTAAGCTGGCGTTGCTGATAGTCTCCTGAGTTTTATGTCGGTACCTTTTGTTTTACAAATAGATCCTAGAGTTGTAGAACTGTATGTCAGTCCTTTAGAAGAGCTTTGTCACCACATCTTGTTTTCTCTATGAATGAATCCTCCTGTTTTCCATCTAAATGACATTCCCTTTGGAATGTCAGCTTTTCCACCCAACAGTGCTTTCTCTGATACACTGTGCATGATGCACATGCAGAGATTCCATGAAAACTGCCCTGACAACTAAGATTATTTTTTTTTTTTAATGGCCTAAACCTATGCTTTGAAAACCACTTTTTCCTTGTGAAGCCCATCTGTGAACTGCACTTCTCTCTTCCAATTGGCTGTTTGTACTATCGGCTAAATTTGATCAGCTGATTTTCCAGTAAAGCCAGTTAGTATATTCAGGCCCAGTTAACAATAACAGTAAAATAATATCTGCTTACTTTTTAGGGACTGCTAGCAGTGAAACAAGAAAAAGAAATCCAAATGAAAATGGTTCTGACAAGAGGAGAATCTGTTCTACAAAATACTTCTGCGGAGGGAGTACTAGTGATTGAACAGCAGTTGCAAACCCTGAAGGACAGCTGGGCTTCTCTTCTGTCTGCTTGTATCCAGTGCAAGAGGTAAAAAGGGTATGAGGTGCAGAATGATGCTTAGCAATAAAGCACTGTCAAAATTTTTGAAACGTTAAAACCCAGAGTTTTTTTATTACAAGAGTCAAATTCATATAAAATAATTGCACGTGCCTAACACTGCAGGTCTAGAGGCCTTAAGTGACATATTCATTTGAAGTAGAAAAAGGGGAGGAAACTGTGAGGGATCTAAGCTTTGTTAACACTCATTGTCAATATACTTTTAAAAGTGGGTTCCGTCTTCATAATCTTGTGAATTTTACTTTGAGTTGCATTTGGTGCCTTGAATTGGTCTCATAAATGAGAAGATCTTGTCATGGACATTAATGGTTGATATGTCAAGGTCCTGTCTGGTTTTCCGCTTGCTAGCGTTTCACAGAAGGTACTGACTGTAATTACAGCATCCAGTTGTGGTGCTCAAAGTGATAGAATAAAGAAATACAGGGGGGGAAAAATGCAGCCTTCTTTGATGGAGCGTCACTAGTTGCAAAAATTTCAATTTTAAACAGCAAAGGTAATTAAACATTAGAATGCAGCAACTTTTGAATGTATGCAAAGGGAATTTCTGGTTCAGGAACTTATGATTTCAGCTGCATTTTATTTGCTAAAGCTAGAACACGTCAGCTAGCTACATAACTTACAGACCTCCTTGATATTCCAAGTTGAGAAAACTTAATTTTTTTTTATCGTCCAAACAGTGCTCCTAGTTAAAACCTGTAGAGTTTTAACAGCTATGTCTCAGTCTGTTTAGCTTGTGATGTATCTTTCTTATAAATATAGTTTAGAATAACTGTATATAACTATATCTCACCACTTAAGTAGCATGAGAACCTCCACTATAACAAGAAATATGTATTTTTAAATTACAGTCAACTGGAAGGAGCTCTTTCCAAATGGACAAGTTACCAGGATGATGTTCGTCAGTTTTCGAGCTGGATGGATAAAGTAGAAGCAAGTGTGAATGCTTCTGAAAGGCAATATGCTGAACTAAGGGAAAAAACAGCTGCCCTCAGCAAAGCAAAGGTGTGTTTGCTTTACAAAAAACATCAACAAGCCCATATCACCTTATAAGCAACTGAAAAGGCTGAAGACCTGCAAGATTAATCTGTGGTCTTGTTTTAATGCTGCTCATTCATTGATGTGTTCTTTTTCTGTTTTGCAGCTACTCAGTGAAGAGGTGTTGAGTCACAGCAGCCTGTTGGAGACCATTGAAGCAAAAGGAAGTGGGATGACTGAGCATTATGTCACTCAGCTTGAACTCCAGGACCTTCAGGAGCGGTATAAGTTCCTCAAAGACAGAACAAGGGTACAGTTTTTCTTGATAGCACTCCCTCTTGTTTTGTTGGGAACAAGGAAAAAGAGAAAGTTTTTAATTGATCATTTATTTTACAGTTAAATGATGAGTAAAAGATTTGGGAACTTAATGTAACAGAAAGTTATTAGGGTGATTTTTCAATCTGTCTTCCTGTACCACTGAGCTTCAGACTTTTTCAGAAAGGTTCTGAAAATCTGAATCTGAAAAAATCATCAGGTGAATAGTCTGAGGAATTCCATGACAAAAGTCTCATTGACTTCAGCACAGATACGGTTTTACCCATTGTGACTGAAAATTGGAGGTATCTCTGAATCTCTGATTTGTAGAAATACACTTTTTTGCAATAAATGCAACCAGGCAATGAGGTAATTCATAGATGGTTGACAACCAAGAAGCTTACTATTGAACACAAACCTTATTAGGAAGTGAACCAACTCTAATATTAGTCAAAAGACCCAGCATGATAAGTACTACGTTTACTGATAAGCATTAATATTGTAGATCTGGAAGAGATGAGGCCATAGACAGATAAAGTTCAAGATGGAGTTTAATGTAAGATATAAGATAAAGAAGACATAATAAAAGACCTAGTGATACATTTAAAGCTAGGTGATTATCTCAGCGTTAACCCAAATTATTCTGTGATAATTAAATAATGCCTAATATATGCTCAGACAGGCAACTTCTCTTCATGACAGCAGTGTTGTAAAATTGAATTTTGTTGTCTCAATGATGTCTTTGTCCTGTGGAAAGGGCCAAAATTCAGTTTTAAAAACACGTGAGTGATTCACTGTTTTGTGGTACTCTCTTCCACAACTGCAAAGAATGCAATGCACTGGCTTTCTTTGGACCTTCTGTGAATAAACTCACTCAGGTTTCCCAGAGAGATGAGTAAGTCCTGGGAAGTGCTAGTGAATACGTAGTATTGCTGTTAGCATGGGGATCCTCTAACCTTTACCTTTGTCTCTTGCAAAAAGCTATACAGACTGTCCGTGTTTGCTCAGCTTGAGCAACAGCTTGGGAATAATGAGAAATGGGTAGTAGTTTACAGAGGCAAGAGCTGTGTCCTCTGTCCTCATGTAGTAAGAAGCATCCCTTCTTTCTCTTCCCACCTAATACCCCAGATGACTTTGGTCTTCCCCACTCCTAACTGTGGTGATGATGTTAAGTGTCAAGAGTACGCTCAAACCTTAGAAAGAAATTAAAAGTTCAAAGCAAATACCTGGAAAGTAAGGAATGGTCAAATCCTTTAATAATCCTTTGGCCAGATGGGAAACCTGACAAGCTTCCCCAAGGGTTTGTGGCCCAAGCCTAAGCAGACTAAGACCTGTAATTCCCTGCAGCCACTGTCAAGAGGCACGAGAACTAGTTTTTTCCACAATTGAGCATGGACAGACCTTGTAAAAGATTGGTAACATTCCTCTGTTCTTCCTTCCTGCCACTACCCAGACCTGTTAGAAATTGGTAAACAGCAGCCATGAACCTACTGCCTGCTTTATGAAAGAGCTTTTCCTCTTATGTAGCCTGCTGCCCTGGGATGTAGCCTGTCTTGCCTCCATCCAAACTCAATTCCCTGTTTCCATCGTTTCTTAGAGGATATGAATTACGCGTAGTATACTTTTCTTGTGCTTAGAAAGACTAGTCTTGTGCTAATATATGACACCTTTCCTGCTCTACCCCAGGTATGGTAATATTTTAGTGCTGGGTTGTGAAATTATTGTAACTTGCTCACTGACATACATGGAAGACTTGCGGTCTGTTTGTCACAGTGCTGTGTAGGAACTGTCCACAAAGGACTTGGGTAGTCTTCAAATCTAAAGATACTAGATACTCCTCATAGAAGATGATTATTCCATTGACAAAAAAAATGCGTGCAAAGAAAAAATATGCAATCTCATACTCTTATTAATCACTTCAGTAAAGTTAACTTAAATTGGTATGAAAATTAAGAAGGTCTTTTGTTATTAGACACTAAGGTGTTATTTAAAAGTGATCCCAGATGAAAACTTCAAATCCCAGAAGTCACAAACTTATGTGAAGAGTCTTTTAGGATAAGTGTCTGTATCCCTCACATTTTCCCCCTCTTGCCCTGTAATTGAGTAACCCATTCTCAAAATCCAAGTACTCTTGAATTCTAGGAAAGCTCAGCATCAGATACAAACTTCTGCCCTTGATAGAAGTCTGAGTTTTATGTTTTCTTGGTTTGATGATACACTAAGTTATATATACATATATGTAAATATTTTAACAAGCAGGAGGCAGTAACAAAAGCTGAAGGACTGCTTAACTTACATCAAGAGTACCAAAGAAATCTGAAGGCCTTTGAAGTATGGCTGGAGAAGGAACAGGAAAAACTTGACTGTTCATCACATCTTGATGGTGATGCCCAGAAACAGGAGGCAACACTCCGAGACTTACAGGTACATAATGTGTGACACTCTATAGTACAAAAAAAAAAAATATCTTACTTGTAAAATAACAGAATATTAATTACCAGACAAAAATTGCATCTCTTTTTTTTGTCTCAAGAACAGCTTGGAATCACATTATATGTAAGCACTTTGCTGCTCAAAACTGCTTCCAGTAAAGTCAGTGGAAACTTTGTCACTCATTTCTAGAAAGAAGTGTCAGGTCTTGGATGAAATCCCCAGGCATACTAATGCTTTCTTGCAAGTACAGAATTTGTTTTAGATGTGGCCTACCTCTTCTTTTCCCTGTATTTTGTAAAATATCAAGTATTCTTTTTGTTGGATTTTCATCTTTTATGGCTCATGATGCAGATGCATCTACTTTCAGGCAGTTCCAGTCAAGTAGGATAGCTCCTATGGTGGGATGGGAAGATGGTTACTGAATTGTTTAAGTGGCAGTGAAGCGTGAAACTGTAGTACTTCAGTAATTTCCCAGATATGATCTTGAGCTGACTTAAAATACTTTCATAATTGTTGTTGAATTAGCAAAATGTCCGTATCTGAGTTATGAAATATTCATTACTTTATTCAAGATACTGAAAAGGTCTTTGTATGATTAGGGACTCTGCATATATGTCTTGTTATTATAGTTTACTTTACAAAATCTGAATCCATTTTGAAAATCTGAATATATATCTCAAATACACAACTAAGATGACACACAACTGTATTTTGTTAAGGTAATTTCCTGGTTATGTTTTTTAATCAGATTGAACCCCTTCATACTTTCTAATCAAGTTCTAATAAGCATGAAAATGCCACACATGTCCAGAAGAAGATATCAAGAATTATTTTGTGGTGATGTTTCAAACATATGTTCGTTTATTGAAGCCTCACCTTGTTCCTTTTGAATATAAGGCTGTGCTGAATGGATTGCATCCATCCCATGCCAGCTCAGGCAGATAATGTTTCAGAACTGATGATAAACTTAGCAGAAGGGGAAAGAATTTAATGCATGCCTTGTCAATAATTTTCTCCAATTCACGTGTCAATAATAGTGATACTTGATTTGCTTTGTAAGTGAGCATGCCATCATAGGTGTTCTTAGAGATGGTGCGATACGTCTTCAACCACAGATAACTAAAGGGAATATCTAGATAATGTGAAATAACTGCTTTTGTCTTATGTAGAACCAGGGCTTTGTTGGCCATGCATGAATGAAAGCTGTTAATGTAGGGTATGTATCCATAACTCTGCCTTTACAGGAACTGCAGGTCCACTGTGCAGAAGGACAAGCATTATTGAATGCTGCTGTCCATGCCAGAGAGGAGGTGATTCCTTGGGGCATTCCCCAGATAGAAGACCGAACTCTGGAATCCTTACGGCAGGATTGGCAAGTTTATCAGCACAAGCTTTCTGAATCAAGAAGCAAATTAAATGCCACTGTGAGCAAACTGAGGTTAATGGAGAAAAAATTTCAGAAGGTTAATGACTGGCTAACAGACCTGGAGAAGAAAGTTGCTATCAGGACTGGGAGGCAGTCAGGTAGAGCAACAAAGGAGATGCAGCTTCAACAAATGAAGGTAAAGAATATAGTTAAGGCATTCCTTAAATAAAATACCATGTGAGCTTTCCACATTAGTTCCTGGTTGCACTGTGAAAATGACAGGAAGCATCGCAATTTATTCTGAGGTGGTGCCTAGAATGATGGATCCAAGAGAGCTTTGTGCCTTCTGGGTCCAGGTTCCTTCCATTTTACTGGTAGAGGTGTGGCTATACTGATGTTGAAATCTCATAGGGAGATCTGGAATTTATATGCTCTGTGATATGTGAAGGCATAACTGAGGACAAAGGTTGGCCCTAGAGTGGGAAAGTGTTAATGTGGTAACAAGAGTAAAATGTGACCAACTGTGTTGTGAAGTCTCTACTGTGTTGATGTAAAAATTCTCCTTTAGTCACTGCAAGAAGACATGTTCTGAATAAACACAGGAAGCAGATTTGGAGAGGTTCAAGGTTATGGTTACAGTCACCTTGAAAACTGTGGGAAATTTTGGGCAAATTCTGTAGGAAGTCCAGGTTGCATATCTTTTTTTTTTTTTTTTTTTTTTTTGAGTGGGGGGAGTATTGAGTCTATTGTAATGAAATGCAGTCCATATGGTGTGATAAAACTTCCATCATATTTGTCACATTAACCTTCATCAGGTTCTGTTTTATTTTCCTGTTGTAAATCCATGTTTACAGCCGTGAACCCTGTATTTATTTTCCTTTTCAATGTTTTCCTGACTTAGTTACAAATAAATCCCTGTTGCATTTAAGATGTTTGAATCGGTCATGTAAGCTGGATAATGTCTTTTTCATAGAAGTGGCATGAAGAAATTACAATCTACAAAGATGACGTGGAGGAAGTTGGAGTATTGGCTCAGCAGATACTAGAGGAAAGTCTCACTGCAAGTAGAATGGGAAGCCAGGCTACACAGCTTACATCTCGCTACCAAACTCTTCTTCTTCATGTCTTGGTAAGTAATGAAAATTAATTCACTGTAACATCATAAATTGTCAGTTAAGAAGTAAATATAAACAGACTTCCTTAATTAGACTTTATCAGAGTTTATTTGTTACTATAGGCTCAATAATATAATATTCACCTATATATTCATATACATGTATATATGCACACTTACATCTAGATTTCATTGGACTGAATGTATTACAGAACCATAATCAAGATAATGCCCTTTCAAAAATATTCAGTATTAATCAGATGTTATATATTGTTACTGTCTCTTTTTGGCAGTTGCAGGAGAGAAATTCAGAATTCAGTACGTTCGAATGCTAAACAACCTTTAGAGAAATGTTTTCAGGTTATCACTGGAACACATAGGTATGGGAGAAATTTGAATTGATAAGGTACAGTCTTCAGGTCACTTTAAGTAGGAAGTGTCTCATAGTACCATAATCACAAGTCACAATTAAAATTTCACAATATAAGTACCTTTTCAGTGTTTAGTATTAACTCAGTTTTAACATTAGTGATTGCTATATGTACACCCTGACAAGACCGCAGTGAGAATTATCCACTAGATGGGAAAGAACTCAAAACCTATGTGTTTAATCTTAGTATATCAGGTTTTATTAATAAATAGCAGTTTATTGCTACCTTTAGCTGATAGCAATGATAAACATCTGGGTGGTTCTTGTTTCCTCCCCCTACCCTCCATATTTGTTTGAAGGAGCAAATAAAGTTTCTGGAAGAAGAAATACGCTGTATGGAGGAGTCAGAATTGGCTTTTAGTGCTTACACAAATTGGTACGGAGCAACCAACAAGAACTTCAGAAATGTGATCACCAAGTTTGACGTGGTTGCCAAAACAGCAATGGAGAAAAAAGTACAGAAACTAGAGGTACAGCTTTCTTGAATGCAAGTTTTGTTTCTGTTCACCAAAGAGGCTGTATTTTAACATGCATCTTAATAACTGCTCAAAATTCTGACTTCACCTTGCCCAGAGAACCTAATAGGATAAACGCCACCCAGTACAGAACTTTCTGTTCTCATGTCATATACACATTAGATGACAGTTTGGTTATTGAGGTTATAAATAGTCCTAAATAATATAATGCTATACTTCCATAAGGCATGTTTGTGTGTGTTTTGCTGGTTTAGGTTAAAACTTAAAATAAATTCCTCTCGCAGAACAACCTGGCACATATAGTTTATACCAGTATGCACTTTGGCAAGAAGTGTTTCCTATTTCTCCTCATTGAAATAACTCAGTAGTAAAACTCACATTTCATCTCGGAGTTGTAGATGAGTTTTTCATGTGTCCTAGAGTTAAACATATATGCTAAGGGAAAACTTCCATCCATTCCAGAATTTGGAATACGAATCCTTTCATGATAGCCCTCATTTTCTGTGTTTATCTTCTGTTTTGCACCGTGCTTCTGAAGTACTTGGGTTTTTCTACTTCCTTCTAGTTTACTGCACCTTAACTGCAGGCAATTTTGTAATGAGAAGTCCATTCAATTTCCTTAGCAATTCCTTTTGCGTCATTAGCAAAATTTAAAAAAAAATATATCATTAGCCTCTCACTGATAACGGTACTACGATGAATAAAAAAAATAAAAATAAAAAAAAAAGGCAAGAGCTTGCATACATTTTCTGTTAACCAGCACTTCCTTCACAGCTGTTATTGAGTGATATGGACATAGGCCACAGTTTATTGAAATCTGCCCGTGAGAAGGGGGAGCGAGCTATAAAGTACATGGAAGAAAATGAAGTTGACCAGTTAAGAAAAGAAATTGGCGATCACGTGGAACAGCTTGAAGACCTGGCTGGCTCCATCAGGAAAGAGCATATGACTTCAGAGAAGTGCCTTCAGCTGGCAAAGGAGTTCTCAGACAAGTACAAGGCACAGACTCAGTGGGTCACGGAGTATCGAGCTGTGTTACATGCTCCAGCGGAGCCAAAGAGCGAACTCTATGAGAAGAAGGCCCAGTTGTCCAAATATAAGGTAAAAAGCAGTTATATCATTGTACTATCAAATCAATTTTGGCCTGGTGACTCGCAACAAATCCTCTGGTCCAGGTGTCTGTTCAAGTTTCCTTAATAGATGTATGAGAGATCGCTGATCTGGATGTCCAAATCAGCATCAAAGTGAAAACATGCACAATACCTGCATCTGAGAACCAGAGTGAGCACCTGGATTTGAAATGTGAATGTCCTAATAAGTCTTCCACATTTGAAAATTTGCTGGTATGGAGGAAAATTCTTTTATGAGTACACAGCTCAGTAATTCCTTTGATATCAACAGTTAACTGCTGTTTAAGCAAGGATAGAAATCAGTTGGTTGTTCACTGCAGACATTGCCTGCGTTTATATTGCCTTAAAGCTGTCTGGTTAGAGCTGGATGTCCCAGCTCGACTGTCATCTAGGACAGTCAGCTGTTATGGCCTCCTCTGTTATTAGTTACAGAGGATTTCAGTGAAGTGGGGTTTATTTTTTCCAATCGTAAAAATGAGTAGAAAAATTTGACAAAATCCCTATTGCTTCTTTTAATGATTTTTTTGTAAAACAGAATTTTTTGCAGGATTACAGATGTTTCAGCAGATGCATACAGGTTCTGGTTGGGATGAAGCTAACTTTCCTCATAGCAACCTGTATAGCGCTGTGCTTTACGTTTGTGGCTAAAACAGTGTTGCTAACAAAACAGTGCTTTGGCTATTGCTGTAAAGTACCTGCACAGCATCCAGACTTTTCTCTGAAGCTGCCCACTGCCCCTCACTGGCTTCAGTACTCAAAGTCGTATGTCATAGCTGTGTGCTTGCTTTCTACACATTCTACACTGTCATTTGATAAATGCAGGCATGTGCCGTGCTGTCTGAGCCAGTGGCACAATGACATAACAGATAAGATTGCGTACTCCTGAGAGTACAGTGTTGTGCACTCGTCTGCATACTGTCTCATTAAGGGGATGGCTTTGGTGATACTTCCCCACCAATTTGCAGAATTTGTTCCTCTGAGCAAGTTTTATCCCTAGCACTTGCCCCTTCACAAGTATTAACTCCCTTTCCTTCATCAGCTCCAGATCAGCTGTGCTACTAGCCACTTACAAAAGGAGCAATTGCTTTTAGATGCCTGCAAAGTTGTTGTTTCAGGGCATGGCTGATAGTTCTGTGCTGGTAGCAAAACTCTTCTCACCTGGAAAGGATGATGTATACCATGATAGAAGGCTGTGCTTCAGATCGAAGGAGAGTGAAATAGATCTTCAGTGTTCAGTAGTTATATTTTAATTCTTGCCTGCATTATAGTCCATACAGCAGACTGTTCTGTCCCATGAGCCTTCAATAAAATCAGTGATTGAAAAGGGCGAAGCACTTTTTGATCTAGTGAATGATGTGACTCTTAAGAACAACATTCAAGACCTTCAGAGCAGTTACCAGGAACTCTGCAGCACAACAAAGGTAAGAAGTCAGCAAGAAAACTATAGGTTCTTTCAATTTGCAATGGTTTTTTCCCCCTCTTTAAGAAGTTCACTCTTTGTTTTAGTTAGATGTGATCACTTTTTTTTTTTTTTTTTTTTTTGAGGTTGGGGGAGAGGGGGATTCTTGAATATGGAAAGAACTTCTACCTCAACACATCTGGCAAGAGTAGCTGAAATGAATTTTGAGTGTGGCAGGTGAAGCCTTCGTGGCACTAGGAGAAAATATATCAGTGTCTAGTTTATACTATTGTTACTATTTTTAATTGCTTTGAATAGATTTCTCAATACATTATTTCTTGAAGGGACAGATGCCCTTGAATTATACCATTTTGTCTCTTGTTTCTGCTAGATCTTACACAGACTCTGTTTAATCTAGTTTAGTTGTTGAATGGAGGTCACTGGAGAAAATGAACTGCCAAATGGATATAATTTAATTCAGCAAGGGCATTATTAATTAACATTGATTCGTTAGTCCACATGTATGTAGTACTTTGAAAGATCTAATACTTCTAAATACGTCCTAAAGTATGATTATTCCTAAAGCTTTTAATAGGTTATACTCCTAACAAGGATAAGCTCTGCAAACCATGTTAATACTTATGTTTGACCTAAGTACCTTTTAATTGCTATTCCATCCACCAATAGCAGATGATTTTTTATTTTTCACAGTTGGTTTCTAATTTACACATTCCTCTGATCTGTACCACAAAACTGGCATCTGTTGCATTAGATGTAATGGTGATGACTTAAATGTAGAGAAGCTTATGAAAAAAATTTTCTTAAGAAGAACAAATACCTTTTGACTCGATGTGTACATTCTTAATTTCCCTACCATGGTCACAGGCAATATGTACGTGCAAAGGCTGTAAGCAGCAGAGACCCCACCACATATAACATTTGGCAGGTCATGTGCAGTCTCTCAAAGAGCATGTAATAACTGTTTCTGAGTGAAATTAATGTCAAGTTGACAGTGTTCCTTTTCTTAAAGTAAGGAGATACTCGGTATTTTCCTCAGTCTTCAGAGTATGGTATTTCATCTTGAGTGAAAATACTGCGCAGAACCGCAGACTTTATTCACACAATTGATCCCTTTGATGTCTTCCTTAACAGTCTAATCATGTGAAAGTCCCTCACAGGAGTGTGAATGTACAAGATAACTCTCTTACTATGCATTCAAGCTCTTGGTGGCTTTTGGTTTGGGTTTTTATTCTTGTAATTACCTGAATATTTAATTTTGGTTATTGTTGATCTGCAGGCATATGTTGAAAACTTAGAGGTGAGAGTAAAAGAACACGAGGATTACAATAGTGATCTGCAAGAAGGGGAGAAATGGTTATTGCATATGTCCAGCAGGCTGGTCAGCCCTGACCTCATGGAGAGTAACAATCTTGAAATAATCACTCAGCAACTAGCTAACCACAAGGTGGGTTTGCTATTAGCTGGAGTTCCTTTGTCTGCTAAAACAGAATTTTTCATCATTGCTTCTCTGTCTTCACTCCAGAGCTCTAGTTATTTGACGTTCATCTGTTTTATTCCTTTTACTTCTGACTGTGGAAATAAATATCAGTGTCATTGATGCAGTGAAATCTACCTTGTTGTTAGCACTGTTTCTCAGATGACACTGCATCTGCATGAGAGCTTTGTTGCACACCGGTCTGAATTCTGTGTCAGATTTTTGCTGAGATGTCCCAGGAAATAGTCCGCAAAAAGTAGATTAGGGTGATTTTACTCCTAAGGCATTTTTTGCTCTGACACTTTAAAGGATAAAAAAATATTTAAAATTTTCAAATATTCAGGGTTTTTCCTCTATTAGGTTGTAAACCCTCTATTGCCTTTATTCAAGGTATTGTTGTGGTTACTATTAATGATAATCGTTCACTACATTGATAGCTGGTGCTTTCTAGAAGATAAAAGAAAGCAAAATCCAACCCTTCTCACCACTCCCTGAGACTGAGATTCCAAGGGTGAATATTAAAATCTTGTCACTCATTGTGGTTAGTGTGTTATTCTTTAAGTAACCTCCTTAGATAAAAATTTGTCTCCACCAAAGTCAATGGAAAGAACTGTCTACAGTGGAAGAGCTTATGGGATAAGATATGATTCAGCATCAGATTTAGTCCTTGTTACTAGACATAGGAGAAGATGGTGGAGCCCTGGAGAGCCTGCAACATAGGGAAGATTAGGGGTAGTCTTGGGACACGAGCATATAATGTTTACACAGTATGACAGTACTACTGATATTTCTGTGGGATATCCATGTACAGACTTTTGACAATGATTTTATAATGAGTTTACACTCTTAATAGCTTGACTATAACAATACACATTGTTGTCTGAAAACTTTTTTCCAAATCTGAATACAGCATTTAAAGGAGGAAAAAAAAAAATTAAAAAAATATTTATTTAACAAGCTGTAATGCAGACTGTGGTTTAAGTTCAAAATATTTCTTCAAAAGTATTTTATCTATTTCTTAGGCTATCATGGAAGAAATTACAGGATTTGAAGATCGTTTGAACAGCCTTAAGTGTAAAGGCGATTACTTGATCAATCAATGTGCAGAACATCTTCAAGCAAAATTTAAGCAAAACATACAAAGCCATCTTCAGGGGATGAAGGATAGCTATTCTGCCATATGTAGCACAGCTCAAAGAGTAAGTCTTGTTTCAAAAACGATTTTATGCCGTTTAAGAATAACCCACAATATTATTTCTCTAATTACTTCTTTCTTTAAATAGGGTAAAGGTCTTCCTATTGTATCCATTTATATTGAGCCTACAGATTACTAATGTAGCACTTTGTCCTTACTGTGCTACAGTTGAGTTCCTTGTGATGCAAGTGTTGCCTAGCAGCCAGCAAAACTAGCTGCCTATAAATTCTTACCTTAATTTCTCCACACCTTCACTACCTTTGTGTTACACTGGTTCTGAGCAGCTGCAGCAAAGAAATTAGAACTAGTCCTACTTAAAAAACTGAGAAGCAAATTGCACTCTTAGTGTCAGTAGTTTGCATACATACATAACGGGTCTTAATTATGTGCTAGGAAATACTGTCTCTCTTAGTAAAACCAGAATATACAGTTAGGAAGGGTTAACTGGGTCATTCTGTTAATCCAATTAGGAGATCAAGCCAGTGTAGTCTAAAAAAAAAAAAAACCAAACAAAACAAAAAAAAACAAACCCAAACAAAACCCCAAAAAGTAGACTTCATAGCCAGTAAGATTTGTAGAGGTAGGTAAAACCTCATGCTAGATCAATGACAAAATGTTGAACAAGAATACAGAAATATGAGACAATGCTCTTCATTTGCATCTTTATTTTTTCCTTCCAGAAGCCGTGCCTTAGATATTGTCCATCTTCTCCACAAATTAACAAGATGCAGTGAGAGCTTAAGGAGCTTTCAATCCTTGATACTTTTATGTAAAAGGGCTAAAATAACTACAGTCTTAATAATTCTGTTTTACCTGCAGTTTTCAAGGTGGGAGAAGAGAGCCAATAGCAGTGTTTGAAAATGCAATGACCTTACAGAATGTTGATTTTAGGTATACCAGAGTTTGGAACATGAACTCCAGAAGCATGTTAATCATCAGGATACTCTACAACAGTGCCAGACTTGGCTGTCTACAGTGCAGTCAGAGCTAAAGCCAACTACCTGGCCGCCTTTCAGCCTGGCAGATGCAGTTAAACAGGTAAAAGTTCAGCGCTTGAAAATGCTCGGTTATTCTTAATAAGGTGAGTTCTGGTAAAGCTTTGTATTAATAGAATTTAGATATTCTCTCTGACCTTCTCAGAGGGCTGTGTAGCCTCAGTGTTTATTCCCGGCCCCAAAAAAGAATGCCTTGAGTGAAAAATAACCATAGCTGAAAAATCACACAGGGCTTTTGCTAGCTCTGCTTAATGCTTAGAAATATGTTACCTGAAAAAAGGTGACTAACTAGATAAACCTGCTCAGATACTCCACATATGTGTTTAGCAGAGAGGTTGTGTCTTTCTGCTTGTCCAGTTGCCAATCTGTCTATTAGTGTTCCTATATGAGACCTTGTTTCAAAGTACCATGGACACAGAGTCTGTTGTCAGGCGATTAAAACAACTTTTCAGCCTAAAAGCGTAGAACTGCGTCTAGCCCACGTTAGCAATTAAGAATCATTTCTTTGCTTCTTGATTATTTGTAGTAAATTAATATGTTTTACATTGGATTTGTACCTTGTTTTCAAATTAGACTGGTATGGCACTAAAAATGCTGGAATTCAGCATTCAATCGTGTGGCTTAATAGAGACCTTGAAATACTGCAGATAACAGCTCTGCAAGGGATAGAGGAGCGGGGGGTGACAGTGGGACCAGCAGGGCAGCACCTTCCCAATGACGTGAGGGCAGCACACAGGTGAGGAGAGCAGAGTCCCCCTGTTGTCAGCTGCCATCTGGTGATCACCAGGCATGTCTGTAGGGATGAGGACAGTCCCAGGTGGAGGCAGGAGGTCAGGGAGGCAAAGCAAGGCCAGGAGGATCAGCCAGGCACAGATGCATCTATAGTGTAGCTCAGGTGAGGGCCTGAGCTTATATGCAGCTCTCAAGCAAGGGGGAAGGGTTCTGAATGCTTTTCTGTTTGCCAGGTCGCAGCTGAGCTGAGTCAGGGCTGGCCCTGAGAAGAGGCATCCAAACCCCAAGCAGAAGGGGGGGAGAGAGGTTGCAGAGCCCTTTGGTGTACTGAGGGCCCTGACCATCCTTGAGGATTAGGGACTGTTCCAGTTCTTAACTGTTCTTAGTGTGAAAAAAGTTTCCCACATATCTAGGAAGATTTTCCTTGTTTCAACTTGTCACTTTTCCTTCTAGTCCTTTTTCTGCTCACCTTCACAAGAGTTTGGCTCTATCTTCTCCGTACTCTCCCCACCTGACCCCTACCATTTTAAGTAATGGCAGACTGCAATTAGCCTCTGTTCTCCAGGCTGAACAAACCCAGCTTCTTCAGAGCTGTCCAAATGCCACATACTACAGCCCCATATCCCCCCAGCACTTTGCTGGACTTGCACAAGTTTGCCAATATCTCTTCTATGGGGGAAGAGTGAAACCGGGTCAAATGCACTTGTCAGGCTGTCCCTGGTGTAAGTACAGGAGAAAAATCGCTTCCCGCAGCTTGTTCTCTGCATTCTTGCTAATACAGTAATTTGGGCTTGCCACAAGGGCACACTGCTGTTGTGTTCAACTTTTTGCCTGCAAGGACCCACCAATGGCCTTCTGTATTAGGTGGTCACTCACCCCTCCTCCCTGGGACTCTAGGAGGTATGTTACTGCCCTACTTGTCAACATTTTCTTATGGGATGAGGTAACTCTTCAGAGTGAGAGGTGAGCACCTATGGGCAATGTCAAGAGCAGGAACCATCAATAGTGTTGTGTTGTCTGATCTTGGCAATCGTAGATGCTGGGGACATTGGGAGGGTTTCAGAAGGTGTGGGGAAGTGTGTTGTGTCACTGGGCTGGACTCCCCATGATCTGTCAGACAATGGAGAATTTTGTAGCTATAGGAACATGACACTTTATTAGTAGGATAAAGCCCTGCTTCCCATTCACTTTAGGAAAGTAAGTCACCTGATTGAAACTGTGTGTATCTGTGCAACGCTTTATTTATAAAGTAGTAAGCTAGGTAATGCATATGTCACTCAGCGCTTTGATAATTGGATTATAATCAAGTTTTTAAGAGTTACTCTTTTCCACAATTATGACAGAGCAGCTTTACCTAGTAAAATAATATATGTCTACATTTCATCTTCTGGAAATAATAAGCTGAAGTAAAAGTACTCAAATGCACGATTAAAATAAAATAAGAGCTTATTTCTCATCTCAAGTAGAGATTATGTCTCTATTTTATTAGTCTCAGAGTTTATTTCAGGATTATCTTCCCTCAGGTAAAACATTTCCGGGCTCTGCAGGAGCAGGCCAATACATACTTGGATCTTCTGTGCTCCATGTGTGATCTGTCAGATGCCACAGTGAAGAGTACAGCAACAGATATTCAACAAACAAAACAAACGGTACAAGATAACCACAACCACCCACATTTAATCCTGTTTAGAGTTTTAACTGCCTTGATCTGTCCTCTTTTGAAAAGGTCATATTGGGTAATGGTTTAAAGAAAGGTCCTCTTACTTTCATCTTAAGTCTTTCTTTTAGAAATAGTTTTCTCTTTCTTTTTCTGCTTTTTAATATTTTTTTTTTAATTAAAACCACACATTGCCATCCTGGTAGTAATACAAAGACACACAACAAAGGTTGCTAAAGGTACTTAGGTAATGTTACAAGATGTTGGTCTAAAGCTACACAAATAACATTCTGTGGAAGAAAATTGAGCCAAATTATTTGTTTTCATAAACCACAGTTCAATCTATTCTTCTCTGTATTTTATTAAAGCTTAGACATATTTTACTGCTACTATGTACTCAACAGTAGACTGATGTTATTATTAGGGTATACTAATGTATTAATTACAATAATCATAACAAGTTATGATGGTTCAATTAATAAATCAGAGTGCATCTATGTCAGTGTATGAATTTATAGAAGTGTTCCTCAATTTTAAGTTTTAAAGTAGCTTAATGCTTGGTTTTAGAATAAAATTATAAACATAAGTTATTAGAAAAGAAACATTCTGAGCATTCCTGATGATATGAACATGAAAAATTTAGTTTCATATACGCACACAACCAAACTTTTGAAACTACTTCTACCAAAAGTAAAAAGCTAGTATATACAGTAGCAGTATTCCATACCAGAGGAGCAAATTGTACAAATCCAAGTAATCCATAAAAACGCAGCAGTCCAAATATTGAATAGCTAAAAAGCATCGCAAACATCAGAACAAGATTCTCCTTTTATATATAAAGCACTGAAACATTTTTAAGAAATCACAGATGGTACAGTGCTGAGATGTGTTAAGCTGGTTGAGTGTCTAAACCTTAAAGGCATCCTACTGCTGTATTTGGAGCAAAACAAGCTATGTGACTATTGGTTTAAGGTGATTGACAGGCTCCGATCCAGTAAGCATTCTTCTTATTGGCACTTTACAAAAGGCATATAGGCAAAATAACTGGACTAAGCAAATTAAATGGAAGTGTTTGGTTTAAACTTTTATTGGTCGTTGCGAAGGCATGTATGGTACAGTCCAGCAATATTCTTGGCATGCAATAGACTGAATTATACAGTAAATTTAATATTTAATGGAAGACTGAACATGCTTTGAAATACACACACTCATAAATATACTTCCTGCTCTCAAGAGTGAATGACTTTTTTTTTTTTTTTCCAGAGCTTTCCTTTGATAGGTCTGATTTTTATTACTTTTGAAGGTTAGGACTCTTCTTGTAGATAATATTAGCGCCTTCAGAATCTAGTGCAGAAATTTACTTTAGTACAGTATTGTGCTCAGAGGAAGAATGGTATTCATCCACTACTCTCCAAAAATAGATGCATTAAAGCGTTCCTACTCCTTTTCATTTCTTCTAGATTGAGCAAAAGATAATGCACTCACAGTATTTGGCTCAAGGTTGGGAAGAGATCAAACAAATGAAGGCTGAGCTCTGGATATATTTCCAGGATGCAGATCAACAACTACAGAATTTGAAAAGGAGACGGGCAGAGTTGGAGCTAAACATTGCCCAGAATATGGTACTCCAGGTTAAGGTAAGGAGACTTTGGGTTGAGATCAAAAGGTAAGGAAGAAGTTCATCCTGTGGCTGATATCGTGATAATTCATGTAATATGCACATACTGTGTACAATTGC